ATAAATTTGGGTGAGAATTAAAACACTTGGTGCTTCGAGGCATACACAGATGGTAGAATTGACGAAATGGTTGGATGTGCAGCGTTTATTTACCAGGACGGAAACTAAATTCAAATTTTACAATTTGGCAACATGGTGAATCAACAAACAAGCGGAGCTACTAGCAATGACTTTAGGATATCGCTACAACGGTTATAGCGAAAGAACTCCACAGCTGAAAACAGATAGTGCAGTCTCCCTGCTGTGATTCAAGACCATACAAATTACATAAATTTGGGTGAGGATTACACTTGGTGCTTCGAGCATACACAGATGGAAGCATTGCGAAATGGTTGGATGTGCAGCGGTTATTTACCAGGACGGAAAATAAATACAAATTTTACAATTTGGCATCATAGTATACCAACGATCAGGTGGAGCTACTACCAATTAATGACTAGGATGGTTGCTACAAAGGTCATGGTGAAAGAACTCCACAGCTGAAAACTTATAGTGCAGTCTCCCTTGCTATAATTCAAGACTACCTAACTGCAGAATCAATTAGGAATACACTGCGAGAACTGCGAAAAAATCGACGTTGGGAGATTTCCTTGAGGTGGGTCAAGGCTCGCGTGGGACACCAGGGAAATGAAAAAGCTATTTATTTTACAAAAGCACCTCTTTCCTACATTAAAATACAGGAAGAAAAGCTAGGCTTACAAAAATGGAACGATATTTGGATAAAGGCAGATGAGAGCATAATTACAAGAAGTCAAATTCCTTCGGTTCACGACAGATGGAACAAAATTTTTGACCACACGTACAAGACAACTATGGCGCCCTCGGGGAAAAACAAAACATATTTGAAACACATGCACATCAGCAAAAAGAACAAAAGAATATATTGATGTAACAGAATACCAAGTTAGAAAAAACCAGTAATCTTTATGGGAATGGGTTAAAAGAAAAACAATAAAGTTCCTCACTGCAGGGTTACTGAAGAGGGAAAAAAAGAAAGAAAAAAAGAGACGGTATTTGTTATGGGTATGACAAAACGTTTAACTGAAGCATAAGTAAAGGACATACAAAATTATGATTTCCTACAGTTAAAACAACATTCAGTGATGTATCCCATCTTATTCGATTATCATCTAGAGGCCAGATCTTCAAAAATTCTTCTGGTTAAGATTTTCTTTCTTACTACAGGAGTGGGCGAAGGAAAGAGAAGGAGTAGGAAAAGGTCGATTTTGCATAGTTTTTACTTCGCATGTCCGGTTAATGTGCCCCTAGGAATTGAGAAAAACAATTGAGTAATTTTTTCTTACTTCCTTGCGTCTTTATTTCAATATTTTTCAAGATTCTCCAAGAAAAATGGTTTAATTGGTGGAAAACGAATATCATCAAAAAAGTAACGTGAAAATTGGAGAAAATCCAGAGGAGTTATGAATTTTTAAATTGAACATCAGAAAGGGTAAAAACTGAAAATCTATCGAAAATGATGTAGATTCAAATGAAAGATAAAAATAAATATTTACGATGTAAATGGAAATAGTGAGCAGGAGTACAAATTTATGTACAACTTTCATGGAAAATGGGAAGCTATGAACTTGGGCTCACGGATTTTTTGGTTAAAACATTTTTTTGGCGAAAAAAAGTTGAAATTAGTTTTTTACACTCCCGAAAAACCCCAGAAGCAAATTTTTCGACTAGGCAATAATAAACGTTAACACTGAATTTGAAGGAGCGACAAACTTAACCTGAACTTTGGGGCCAAGTTCAACTGGGAGGGATGTGTACTCGTGTGGAACTTCATGACTTTTTCCACTTTCCCCAACTTGTTTAAGTAAGCAATTCAAACTCGACTGTGACAAACCTAGTTCGTTTGACAGTTGACAAGTGCTTTCTGCGGGATCTGCGTTAAGAACAATTTTTTGGTTTTCAACAGGGACTTGTATCGGCAAATTGTTGACGTTTTCAAACGACGCCTGTACAGTCAGCTCAGACCTAGAACATCTTCAATTTTTCGTAATTTTTTAAGAAAATGTTAATATTATTATAATTTCATATTTCAAATGTTAGATTTCTCTATTTTAAGTCGGGTAATTAACATGCAGTTTGGTCGTTGTTGTCTGCCTGTCCTCGTTGTTTTAGCTTGTCAGACGGCCTCGTCACATTCAGTGTAGGTTTTTTAAAAATAATAATTAACGTAAGACACACTATTGAAGATGGCGAGAAGGTGAAACGCGCGTTGCAGGCCAAAAAACAGCTAGGGAAGGCATGCTAAAATAAACCAAACGCGACCAAACCTCAAATTGTCTTTTATCTTGATAGAAGGTCTCGTCATCTTTAGAATAGGTTTTTTTAAATAATTATTATCATAAGGACACTATTGAAGATGGCGAGAAGGTGAAACGCGCCTTTCAGGCCCAAAACAGCTAGGAAAGGCAGGCCAAAATAAACCAAACCGGACCAAACCTCAGATTGTTTTTAGCTCGCCCATATAGCAATGTCGTTCCCACGATCCTCATAAAATCATGAAAGCTCCCGCTAATCGGTTAGTAATGAAACGTCAAGTTTAGCATATTCACCCAATAAGGACTTGACTCCTCGAAAAGCGTGCATAATGAGCATTCAATGTCACGCTTGTCTCTGAGAAAGTATACTTGGCCCCGAGAAGCAGGCGGTGATTCACATAAATAAACAATCGCTCGAGATGTTGACTAATAAAATTTTCACCAAAAGCTCGAATTTTCTCTTCCACTCAACAGAAAAGACAATGGAGGGAAAAATGTTTTGCAATGCGGCAAAGATTAATAACCAAATTACCTCGATTAAGGGAGTGGCCGTGTAACGACCTGACTGTTCTATTGAATAAATTCGTATTATAATCAGAGGATCAGACCCTCGCGTATTATTTTCACCAAGTATTACGTGCCACCACCGGATTTCCACTTCGTTTTATACCTTGAACACGAAAATGCCCTAGGAAGTACGAGGTGTGGTATGACACGCAAGAACGATCCGATCCTGCCTTTATTGTAACGCAATGCAATTCCGACCTTTTAAAATCTTACGACGAGTAACGCTGTCTTAATTTTTGTTGAAGGTTTGCGTCATAATTTCATACGACATAAAAGAACCTCGGGAACGCCTTGCATAAAACGAAAAAATCTCGCAACACCTCTCTGGTCTGTCAATTCTTAGATAATTTCCACATTTTCCTTAAGAACCGCTTTGGACAATTCAGGCTGAAAAGTGCTAGAGCTAAATCGGTAATGTAATATTAAAATAGACAAAGCACTATACAAAAGAAACTAATTATAGAAAATTTCAAGGGCAAATATGCTTACGATGATTCAATTAATCACAAACAGATAAACTCTTAAAAGGTCAGACCGTTCTCACTGTTTACTACTTATAAGAAGTGTTCTTATGACTTATACCACGACGCTTCACACAAGGTTGTCAAATAAGTTCGTAGCGTTTTGTTAAATTTAAAATGGAGGATAAAAATAATATATTTTCATCATTAAATGGGTTTTACAGATTTTTCCCGCAAATTAACCCTTTTTAAACAAATTAATTTAAACACGTGGAACAAAATGGTTCATCCATAGCTCATTAAATTTACAAATAAAAATTTTTCATTGAATTTATCATAAAAAACAAAATACCCTGATCCAACACACATCATGGCAAATATGCTTATTAATGTTAACTATAAAAAATCAAAAGTAATAAAATAATAGTAATAATAAAATAAAGTTTTATTCCTGGTCAAAAAATTATAATTGGAAAAGAGTTGGGAAGATGAGCACTACTTTTAACCCATTATGTTTCTTTCAATTAATTATTTTTTATATGTAAGGTTTTTCGTTGAGATAAAAAAGTCCCTTCCCCAAGGGTTCATATAACCTCGAAGTTGAAAAACCCTCGTATTAAAAAAACTCAAAATTTAAATTTAAAAAAAACCTTTGTATTTATGATTATTTGGAGGTTATTAGATGCAGTCTGGTGTGACATAGGTTTTAGAAAAACATTTTGTTTATCGTGCCAACGTTTTGATCTTTATTGAGATCATCATCAGGTTTCAAAGTGTTTGTTTTCCGTGTAGATGTGTCATTATTATCTGTTGTGTTGAGAGTGCCATGACACACAGAAAACAAATGCTTTGAGCTCGGAAGATGATCTCAATCTTCTCACGACCTCCAAATAATGATCAAGTTTAGTGACTGTTACTTGATACACCACACTTTTGCATTCATATTTAAGTTTGTTTTATTTAAGTTTTTTTAAACGTCTTTTTGAAGCCCAAATATTTTTATAAAAATTGGACATTCTCAAATGTACAGGAATTTTACTGTACAAGCACAAATTCCAATTTTCTACGCTTTTGAAATATTTTAAATTAAAGTTGATTCGGGTTAATTTGGGGCGGAAAGGTTTAATTTGAAATTAGAAAGGGTTAATTTAATAATTAATAATCAAGTATTAATTTGATTAAAAATGGTTCATTTTAAGTAAAAAGTATTAGTTTGCAATTCGCAAAAAACCATGTGTTAGTTTGACAAGAATGTGTTTTGAAATTAAAAAGGTTTAATTTGGTATGAAAATTTCTCGTTTTACAAGAAGTGTTTTTGAAATTAAAAACGGTTAATTTGGAGTAAAAAGTGTGTTTAAAATTTACAAAAAACTTTACTAAATACTACACATTACGAAAAAAAGTTAATTTGATGATAAAAAGACTTAATTTAGTTCGGAAAAGAGATAATTTGGCAAGAAAAGAGGGGGGAAAGAGGTTAAATTGGCAAGAGAGGGTGCTATAGCCGAAGGTCGTGGGTTCGCATCCTGCTTGTGTCACTAACTTTTTCATTTCAAACAAGACCTTACCAAAGAATAATTAATTGAAACTAGTTTTAACTTTTTAGTGTACTGTAACTGGTAGTCTAAACTCTACCATTATTTTCAAAATATTTCGAAACCGAATGAAAATTTTTCAATAGAGATTTTTTTTATTTTAGGATCAGTCATCTACAGAAGTTGAAGTAGACATAGATGAACTCCTTGATATGGACGACGACAATCAAAGAAGAAGACACTTGCAGGTATTTTGACAAAAATTAAATAATATACCGATAATTTTTTCTAATTATTATTTGTATTTTATAGGAGCTTCTCTGTGATGCCAAAAAATCACCACATGATGTCAAGGTAAACCCCTAACAACCCAATTTGAAAAATCAGTCTTTTCAAAATTAAAATTATATCTTATTTTATTTTATTTTTTTGACAGAAATTCGTGAATGATCTTTTGGAGAGAACCAAGACACTTTAAAAGGATAAGCAGCCGTGGAGGAGTCGGCGGTTATGACTGTTCACTACACCGTCACGACCTCCTTTCCATTTCCAGCTTACGTTTGAGACAATACCAGCCGAGAATCTCAGCTCTCAAGATCACACAATTGTTGTCCTAGAATGGTCGCATCAAATTTGTTATTGGAAAAAAAAAAGAAGTAAAACGTGTTCAGGTCCTGTTTGGATTTCCTCCCATTGAATGTGAATCTTGGTTTATCATGAATGTCAAAGACTGACAACAGTATTGTGAAATTGCCAAAAGCTTTTTGCCACTAATTTAAAGAAGATGATAGTTATATGTATAAAAAAAAGAGGAGGTTCCGTTTTTATTTTCTGTTTTAGTTTATTAATAATTAGTTTTTATTTATTTATTAAATATTTCATGATATTAATCACTTAATTAAGGTTTACATGTGGCCTAAAACATTAGTAATTCAGCAATTTTAATATATTTCCTTGTTTTCCCCTTTCCTTTTTAGTCAGTAACATTTTCTTACTATACTAAGATTTCACAAAGAAGCAAAAAATGGCAATTAATAAGAAGCGATAAATAAATCCTTCCTGGTCATGATATTCTAATTGAAATGGACTTTTAAACTGCTAATTAAAACGAAAAATAAAGTACATTTTGATTGTCTATTATTAAAAAAAAAATTCTAGCGGGATCAAAATTGTTAATTGTCTTTTTGCATGTTTGATATGAAATGAATGTTCACATCATAGATAAATTTATTTCAAAAAATGTTTCAGTTAAGTAACAAAGCTTGCCAGTTCAACTAGTGGCAAGTTGCATCATAACGTTATACTTTTGTTAGTCCTCGTAGTATCATTGTGTTACTGTAGGAGTTACCAACCAGTTTAAACTGCTATTGCGTAAAAATTTATGTGTCGATTAATAATTGTTTTAAGGCCGGAAATGTTTTTTTTAAACACTTACGGCGCAAATAGAAACATTAATTGTGAACATTTTAGTCAGCCTATTCTAATAGATATATCCTGTGTATGCTTTTTCTAGAAAAGATTATATCTTTACAGTTAATCTCAATATTGTTCTGTGTAATTAAAATTTAAATGAAAAATTAATGCTGAAACACAATCATCAGATAGGGAAGTCTCTGTAGTTTAAAAGCGGGATTTGTCTGTTGCTACTTTGATCTCAGTTTTCAGACATTCGTTTATTCCATCCTTTAATGACTAACATTATCATTAAGAGAAACTAAATTTAGAAAATTTGATTCTTTGTCTCGATTAATTCTTGAACAGTATCCTTGTTCGTGTTTCGCATTTCTATTTAAATTCATCGAATGCTTGGTTATACTGCTGTACATAAATTTTTATATTTTTTCTATTTTAAGGATAATATATGGTTATTGTTATGCTAAAGCCTTAGTTAAAACTTATAAAATTATAGTTGTTTAAAATAAAATTTATATGAGTGATTAATTAAAAAAAAAAAAGTTTGACTGTTAGACAAAATTATTATTTCCTCCATTTTTTTATAATAATAATATTGTTAGGTAGTTCTTTCATTAGAGTATTAAAATTAAGTGCACTGCAGTAATGATGTAAAAGCAAGTAAGCGAGTTGGGTGTCGATTTAAATCGGTGTTGAAAGCTCAGCTCGCACTTTTTTTTTCAAATCGGCACTCACTTTTTGATAAACGCAGATTATTGTAACACTTGTAAAGTAATCAAAACAAAGTAGTGTTGGTTACTCGTTTTTAGAAAGCATGAATAATTTTTAAAAAAATGTAATTGACGATTGTATGTATGTGGTATAAAAGAAATAAATGAAAACAAATGGTTAATTAATGCTTGTGATATGACCTTGGCTTACAGTTCATCGATACCAACTGGGAAAATTTGCATTTTCCAAATGTAAATGATATTTCAACAATATAAAAGCTATTATAAATTTAAAAGTTCAATTTATTTAAGCGCTATCTTTTATTAACATGCTATCTTTCTGGTTGAATGATAAAAGTTGATGGTCAAATAAGGCAAAATTGATATTATATAGATCATTACAGTATTAATTTGTAATTTCTCAAGAAAATAAACTTTTTTATTTATGCTAATATCTACACACTAGTGAGTTCTATTTAACCAAAATTAAATGTACAATACTTAAACTGATATATTTTATAGTGCTGTCCAGAAAATAATGCAGGTTTTTATATTTTCTTTCAATTTACGTTTGATAGATCTATTCTTTTACACAAATGTCAAAACTTTTTAATCCTCTTCCAAACAAAAATGTCTGTTTACCTCAGCAGCGTTTCGTTACTTGGGAATAATTCAGTCTTTACTAAAATGTCACAATTTTCGCATAATTTTGTTTTATGAGTTTAACTCGGTCGGTACGCAAACAGCCAGAAGCATTAATGAAGTCTGGGGCAATTGCAGTGTAAGTCAGAGCTGATTTAAAATTTTCAAGAGGAAGACGAGCCTTGAAGACAAAGAAGGCGTGGAAGTGATGATGTTCTACGAGCTTTGTATAAGAAAATCCCAGAACACTGTTCGAGAACTTGCAGAGAATGTTTCAATTAGCAAATTGACCATCGCTGACCACCTGGCAATCAGAAAGATAAAAAAGTTCAAAAGTTTAGTTCCTCATGCATTAAACGACTGCCTAAAAAAATCATCAGTATGAAATGTGCACATTTCTTTGCCGAAACAGAAACAAATTTTTTTTGGATAGAATTGTTATTTGTGACGAAAAATGGATTCTCTACGATAACAGCAGAAAGAGAAGAAACAGTACCACATTTTCCAAAGTCCCTAACTCATAAAAAAAGTAATGGTGATAAGTCTGATTTACTATAACCTCTTGAATCCTGGTAAAAAAATCAATGCTGACATATATTGCTCTCAAATTGAAACAACGTATAAGAAATTGGCATTATTGAAACCATCTTTGGTCAATCGGAAAAGGCTGATTCTGTTACAAAACTATCAGGCCCGTTTCACATGTGACGACATGCAGACTGTTGGATCTTGGTTATGAGGTTCTGCTATTCTCCAGACATTTTGCTACCGATGCAATTTTTTCAGATACCTGGACAGCTTCTTACAACATAAAAAAGTTACTGATCAAAAGTCATTAGAAAATGCGCTTACAGTATTTGTTAATAATAAAAACTCAAAATTCTATTTAGATGGTGTAGAGAAATTGCTATCACATTGGGAGAAGTGAATTGAGAGTAATGGAGGTTATGTTAATTAATAAAAAATGTTTAAACCATTTATTTAATTGTTTAATGTTTATAACCATAAACCTGCATTATTTTCCAGACAACCTAAAAATATAATGTGTAGGGACAGCGAGGTTAATAATTCAAGGAAAGACAGACAGAGGAAAGATCATTAATCAGTCCTGAACTCTTTTAGGTTATTCTACCTTGCCAAAAAATATCGATTCATCAGCTGATTAAGAATACATCTTCAATTTAATCGTATTGAGTTCATATTGTTAGATAGGCTGACCTCAGGATGACCACAAATTTGTGACAACCACGAGACCGACAAAAGTCTGGGGCTTGTAGGTTAGGGATTGCCTCAGAGTCACCATTAAGTACAAATATCTAGTCTTAACAGGACATCAAATTCAGGATTGAGTCATTTTCTCATATTTGCATTCTACCCTTCGGATACAAATATATTCCGAAAAAGTAATTGATCGCCATAAAATTGGACTTGTGGTTTTGTATAAGTCAGAGACACGGACCACATGGAAAGAAAGATTCTGAGGGTTATTTCTGGGCTAGTTATGAAGAATGGGTGGTATAAGATCTCTGTGCCAGGAGATGGATTTGGTTGGTGTAGGTGTAGGATATTTACAAAGAGTATGGATCGAACACTGTGAATGGCTTATGGCAGACATCCGGGTGATAAGTGAAAACCTCTTTTAAGATGGCTCCAGGATGTGGATGAGAACCTCAGAAAGATAGGAGCAAAGCCTTGAAGGGAGATTAATGATCAGAATGACAGGCAGGTTTTACATCAACCTGAAAGATGTAAACACCTTTGTGAAAAAAGTTTGGGATTAAATACAAAGATGCCCTTACAGTTATACACAGCTGTTGTCAAACCAACATAACTATGGATCGGAGGTTATATCAGGTCCTCAGTACTGCTCAGAGGCTAGCATTCCTGGGAATTACTAGAACATTAGTGAACTATCACAGGGCAGCTCAGAAAGTCCCAAATCACCCACGATTTCATAACTCCATAGAAGCTAGTGACAAAATTCATAGGTAATGTAAATGTTAATATAAAACTAGCCTGGAAAGGAGCAACTAAAGCTTCAGAAAAGAACTTGAGGTTAGTTACTTGCTAGTTACTATTTGAGGTTAAGAAGAATAAGGTTCTGAGAAATACCTGCTAGAGCAAACTGGGAGAAAGAAAATCCTGTTAATGCTATCTGATATTACGATGGCACTAAGGCTGAGTATTGGTTAAGTGTTGGTATCTATGGAAATATAAGCCTTGGGCAATATGATGTATTTCAGGTGGATATTGAACACTGTGCAATGGACATTGGACATGTTAGGATCACCATCACCAAAAGAATAGAACTAGATGGCCAGGTTTAGAGACAACCTCCTTCATTGGAGTAAAGTTAAGAGCCTTTGGGATTGCATCAAGGTTTGGGTACCAACAGAGGGGGCATGAAGGAACCAAAAAACCCACAAAGAAAAAGTTTGATGAGGACACCTATCAGTTCTGAACCTTTCCGCGTCATATCAAATTCCCAAAAAAATCAGTACATCAGACCATGGTGCATCTAAGAAAACAGATACTAACGACAAAACAAACATTGGATGTGTTAGGATTAGAATGAATGCATAATCACCTGATGACTTGTTAGATTATTGTTCAAATCAGCCCAACTAAAAAGACAAGTGGTTGTTAAATGAATTTAATAACTCAAAAATCAAAAAAAGTTTATTCAGCATTTAAATTCAATAAAAACAAAGTCATTTTAATGTGTAATCTAATAAATTTTATTCTTATTAACACTTAACTAGCAAAATTTTAGGTTTTAAAATGGTTTTGGACATTATTTAACCACACAATTCAATTTTATCACTAACAATTATATAGGTGTAATAAAAAAAAATTATAGAAGCACAGTATAGTGAAACCTAAAGTGCTATTTACAAAAAAAAATTATGTGTTTAAAATAAAGAAAAAGAAAAATCTTACAAATGAGACCTATTTGAACTATAATTTAATTTTACAATTAATATTTGTGCTTAACTTTTTGTGCTTTTTTGTAAAAAGTCTATGTGACAAATATTGAACTAGATTTTACTTAGAATAAATTACAAAAAATTATGAAATGGATTTTTTTTATTAACGGTCGTAATGTACAACCATGTGCAATCTAACTTTTTAATATCAACGATTGATAAAATAAGTAAGAGTGCAACTTTTATTTCTGTACTTATCATGCTGTTTTTAAAATAAACATTATTTCTTACACTGTAGTAATTTTCTAAAGAAAATAAAGCTAACAATATATACACTTTTTTGCTATTGTTAAGAGCAATTTGAAAAGTTCAAATTAAGTAATAATACTTTACGAAGAAATAATATTTAAAATAAACGAATCTGTTCAGATAATAAATACCTTAGAAATTTATAAAGAACATTTCCTATATATTTGAAAAATCATCTTTGTTTCAGCTTTTCCTCTCCATTACATTCGACCGTTTTCTCACGATTGTCGCTGACGTCAACTTTGGGTGTTTTCCAGTACGCTTTTACGTAAAAGTCCATGAAAAGGAAGAACATGAAGATATCTTGAGGAATGAAAAGTGTCAAGAGGAATTTCGGAAATCCACAGCTGGGGTTGAACAAAGCCGCAAGGCTGTGGAGCGTCGTCACAACGAATTGAATCTATTAAAAAAGTTTATCAATTAAAGTTGTAATCCTTGTTTTATCAGTAACAAATTAATAATAAAAAAATGTAAAAATTGGTACCAGTTGAATTTCAGTAATGTGCTTTTTCCACCATATTGACTTTTTATATTGAGGATAAAGTGCAGTTAGAAAATAATACGAGTACATTATCGTATGGACAAATGCATTGACTGTTCCAAAAAATACAGGGTGGCCGCCTAAAAATAAAAAATGAAAATTACTGTAATCCCTTAACCTATTTTCTCAAACATTTAATTACCGCCGACGTATTTAGTACAAATCCAATTAGCTATTACCATCCCGGTATGATGATAAACATGCAAAAATGAAATCTGATTGTTTTTTTTCCGCAACACCATGAAGATCTAAGAAATAAAAATAGAAATAATAAGTATGCGATAGTGAATAAAAATTTCTTGAGAAAACTTGCCGTGTCGAGCAGATCTAGCACTTTCGTCCAGAAAAACAGGTATGTGAAAAAAAGAACCTGGAATTTTGTTTTTTTAATCGATGAAAAATAAATTATTACATCATACTTAGGAAAAATTAAATTACAGCATCTTTCCAGAAATAATTCTTTGATCAATACAAAAAATTATTAATATGAATTTAATTGTGTACTGTTGAATAGTTTCCTTTGTCATTTTATTCTACATTCTCATCTAATTAACAGGTAAACGACAGTGGCTGTTTAATTAATGCCATCTAAGAAAACAATTAATTATCCAGTTTTTAGTACCACTTCAAGGTAAAGAAATTATGCAAGTGTTATTACAGTTTGTTAAAAATCAAATGAGCTTTTAAATTAGACGAAAAGTGTATTTTTTGTTGCAAAAGGTTAATATTTACATAAAAAGGTCTAGATTTGCAATGCATTGGACTCATATTTAAATTTATAATCAACATTATTGTCTACTTTATTTAATGTTCCGACAGCTATATTGAATTGATTATTTCTGCTTAGACCATTGAAAAAATGTTTTATTGCGAACAACGGTCAAAATAAAATCTTAAATATTTACCCTTTGGGCTAGGAAATCGGTGGATGAATAGTTGACCTCTTCGCATAAAAGGTTGTACTCTCTTGGAAGCCAGATTAAACGAAAACTCTGTTAAAATTTTATTTGTTTTAAATAATATAGCATTAATTAAAGAAGTTTTTTTTTAATATTTTTTTTTTTTAAATACACTTACTTCAAATACAAAATATCCATTTGCACAGATTTGCGATAAATTGTATAAAATCATTGGATATTTGAGCTCAAACGGTGCCCTTTTTTCCATAAGCTTTGGGCCGAGGTTCAAAACAAAATAATTGTACACTAGAAGTAGACAAATGATCGGAATAGGCGATTGCATTAAAAACCAATCATCTACTCTTGGATCTGCCAGAAAAAATTCAATAATTAAATGTAAGATCGGCTTCAAAAATAAATAAAATTGTTTACCTCTTGCATCTACTAAATAGTATTTTAGCGTTTCTCCCAAGATGCGTATAACTTCCATGATATCTTGAAAAATAAAATTTATGAAAAAAAAGAACCAATTATGATAATAAAAATAAAATTCTTGCGACACTCTATTTACCTTGATTTTGTTAATCCTTAGGAGGCGTGCGTCAGATCGTTCTTGTTTTACTGGCCGACTAGATTGTTCATGCCTGTTTAAAATCTGTGATTGAACTGCGGTCAAAAGATATCAGCGAATAAATACCTGGGTTCCCATGAGTATTGTTGTCCTTTTGCTTTGTCACCCCAGTCTAATTGAAAATGTGCATGCATTATCACTATGCCAGTGGAAATGGATTTGGCCCTACACGATAATTTTATGAGCCTGCAAATTTACAATTAATTAGTTTCAATTAACAATTGACAAATTGGTACAGAAAACCTTTTTCTTATTCTTTCGATTTTGTAACCGTTCGCGTACGTTTCTAGCCAAAAAACTTGTTCAAATTTGAATTCATAATTAGATAAGGCGATTTGTCATACATTTAAATTTAGCTTTTTTTTACCACCTTGACAATAGCAATCGATGTTTCAGTGCATTGAACTTAAATATTTTATTTACATTGTCATGATGTGAAATGATATTATGAAATATATGTGCAGATGTCTTATTTAATTGGGGTATTGTATGTATGTATTAATATAATAAAAACAAATATTTTCATAAATTATGAATATCAGTAAATAAGTTTCAAATATGATTAATGGTATTTAATTATTTGAAATCTTGTTTATGAAACTGCAAATTGTCGGTTAGGGCACCTTATTTGCCATGCTAACAGTTTTAGATTCGTACCTTACATTTATTGAAATATAAAAAAAACATTGTAAAGTCACTTGTCTGTGACACCCAATAATCGGGCGTTAAGCCATCCTGTACAATAAGAATTGTCTTATTTTATTTGAAATCTCATTGACGTGAGTTCCAAAACAGATTTGTTCTCATATTCACTCAAGATTATAAAAGAGGCTTTAAACTCACTCTTAATACCGTATAAACTTACTAGGGTTGTTGACCTCATCATAGGTGCTTTTGACAAAACATCACTGGTACGGCACTACAGTTAGAGAAAAATCATTTGGCACTATCTAGCATAACAGATCTGTCTTAACTTTCAGTTTACATTATCAAGATCATGCACTCCTACCTGAAGGAAAGTTTGAGTCAATACATCATAAAATTCATGCTGGTGTAGCTCAAGGCTCTATAATGGGTCTTAACCTGTTCATTCGTTATATTCATTATTAGCCTGCTGCCATAAAAAAACTACACTCATTCAGACAACTGAGCATTATCGTAAGGACAAAGCACAATAGGTGCTTAACCATGGCTATAGCTAAAATAAACTGAATAAAAACAAAAGACAATCTTATTTTCTCAGCACAGATCACGTTAACTATTGTAATTATTGTATTACCATCCTAGGCCCTACATGTCCTAGTAAAACATAAAGTACATTAAATAATTGTATCATTCATCAAAAAATGCCCGTACAAAACTCACCCACTCAGAAACATTTACTACTTTCATGAACACTGGAAGAGTCAAAAACATCCGTTGCGAAGATCAGACAAAGAAACAACCCTTTACCATGATAGTCGTGGTGTTTTTATGATATTAAATATATGAAATGTTAACCTGTGTTATTAAATATTTCACCATTATGAGTCGGCTTCAATAGTACTGTGGTCATATAAAAAAATATGTTGTTAGTTTGTCGTTTATTTTTATTATTTATTATACTATTATTAAGCCTGTCAATACAGTAGGACTGTCTCCACCTACTTTATGTTTTTCTTAGAATTTTCATTCATGTTGATCCCATAATAAAAAAAATGACAGTTTATGTTTAATCTTAGTGGAAATAAGGGCAAAAAGAAAGTCTATAAGAAGCCAAATATTTTGTTCATTGATCTATATTTGTTCAATTCTAAATATAATTCAATTGTAAAGATATGTATAGATATGTCCAGAACCAAACGTATGACTCCCACTCCGTTATTTTAGTGGTCCGGCATCAGACCTCAGTTTTATCCATTCCACCAAAGGATATGGAAGAGGTTATTTCAGCCATCGACACATGCTGTTTTAACCTAAACACTCTCATTCTCTTAATCATTCTTATATATATTTATTCTCATTTACATACCATTCAACAAGTAGTTTTAGTGATATTCCTCCATCACACCTTACACTTAAAAACAACTACTCATACTCTAACTAGCCTAATTTTATTCTCTTGCACTACATTCATGCTTATAAATACATTCTTGTGAAATACTTGACCCAGAATAAATTACTAAACTTGTCCAAAAAATTTTTATGTAAAGAAATATTTCAATTTCCAAAAATTGGAATAGGAGACACAAAGATTATCTGCTGTACTCGAGCAAGATTCTCATATCAAGTGGCATTCCATCTCGCAGACACATTGAGCAACCTTTTTCTGTATGCTGGACGCATATGCTGGCTTTGGCACAAAAGTAAGTATGATGCTTTTTTTTTTTTTTTTTGTATTTTTTTATATATATTAAAACTATTAATACATATATAAATTAATTACTTTCTTTAATTTGTTTATCAATTCAACTAAAATTAATATTAATAATTTTACATTTAAAATCAAGGATAAATCAATTTAGAAGAAACCATGTTTTATGTTTGCAAGAATGTTTTAAATATTTATATTAAAGAGTCTTAGAGTTGTATAATTTTAACAGTTAGACTTTCCTTATTCATATCTTATTATCTTAATTATAATTTTTATTTGACCAAGATGGATTATTTTGGTTTGACTTTTTTTTTCTCTTAAACTACGCTGTTGGATAATGTAGGAAGAACAAGACATACAATAATAATATAAATTCTTTATTATTTTTATATATAAAATATTATATACAGAGTAATGTAACAAAAATTATATTGTATTAAAAAAATAACTAGACTAGTTTATCGTCATAAAATTGATTGTTATCACAAAATCCTGAAAAATCGTAAATGTATTGTCAAAATAGAGTGACAATAATTTTTTCTTTGTCCATAACCTACCAAGATTTATGGCTCGAATGCCTAGGATGATGCCTGTAGAGTCCATAGGAGTGATTAGGGCTCCTATGTTGAGAAAGTTGTAAAGATGAATGATCCTTCATTAATTGGAATTGTTCAACATCATAGGTGCTGTATTGCGGGTGATGGTAAACTGGGTACCCGGAGGAAGGAGAGCCCGGATGGAGTGGAGGAGGAGCGGCAGCTTCTTTGGGAGTAGCCGGCGCAGGTACCGGGATGAATCCAGAATTGGGTACCGCTCCTGGAAAAACGGGCAGTGCAGGAACCGGCGGGACCGCTCTGTTCACGTACACCGGGTAAGGCTGCGGAACGGGTACAGGTACGGCATGGGGTACGGGCACCGGTACCGGCCTGTCCACAGGCACCGGTACAGGCCTGTCCACCGGTACGTGTTGTATAACTGGTCGATCGACAAAAACCGGCACGTGCTTTTCTACTGGAACGGGTACGGCGACTGGAACTCTGACGTGAACTGGGATGTGCCTCTCGACAGCTACTGGAAAAGGAACTGGTACTTTAACATGAACGGGGACGTGCTTCTCTACAGGCACAGGCACTGGAACCGGGACTTGTCTGGTGACGACCGGAGGCGGCAACGGTACATGATATCCTGGTACTATCGGCACGGGTCCCAAATGGTACAAAGGCGGAGCCAGACCGTATCCAAGTCCTCCGTCGAAATAGCTGCCATGGAAGATCCCCCTTTTTGTCTTTTTCGTATCCCCTTTTTCCTCATTTTTCACGCAAAGCACTGTTGATATTAAACAAAGTAGTATCTGAAACAAAACAATATTGCTTTACAATAAACCAATCAGTCGAAAAATTTTATTCCAAGTAAATTCCCAAGATTTGTTCGGTAAGAAACGACCAAACGACAGCTCATATGCAAATCTAAAGAAAAAATCTCACAATTTTAATTTATCCATTATATTTCGTAGTCCGATTGACTAACTTCTTTCATTTAATTAATCTTTAAGTGAGGTATTGGTCGGGATAAAAAAGTCAGTGTCACGAGAGGGATTCGAACCCACAACTTCGACTAAATACGCCGCTGCTCTACCACCTGAGCTTTCGTGACTTCGATCCTCTCGGACACCAACTCTCCATCTCAATCTACGAACGTTCGAATTTTTCCTCGTTTTGCCATTTTTTATCTCAACCTCACATAGAAAGAATTGAAAGAAATAACTTGGCCAATTGACCACCAACTTCCCACTTCTACCCTTCGAAAAATTGGGAATCCCTTACAAAAAGGAGGGAAAATTCGAAGGGTAGGTTGAAGAGGGAAGCTGGTGTCCGAGTGGATCGAAGTCACCGCTCAGGTGGTAGAGCTGCGGCGTATTTAGCCGAGGGTCGTAGGTTCGAATCCCGCTTTAATTTACATTAAAGCCTACGTCTTCCTTACTTACGGCGAAGAGATGGATGGTAAAAAAACTAGTGTTTCCCAAAGTTTCTTCATTATGTATTCTGCATCGTCATTTGTCTAATGATCACCTGGTCATCGGTAAACAATAGGTCGACTATTATTCCCAATTTTTTTAACATACCCGATTTTTCTAAAGCCTTTATTGAATTTTAAACAATAAAGAAAAAATGCAGCGTACTGTAAACCAATGATCCTCTCGAACTTTGGCGATAAAATCAGCCCTATTTTGATTCGACACTTCTTCATCAATGATCAGAAATTTTCTGGTAGATTTTCCTAGGCCTTTTCCGGGTCTACCGATACAAAAATCTCTTTGGATTTCAATCTCAACAAATCTTAAGATCTTTTAATTTTTATTATGTATTAAAATGTTCACAGAGGATGAAGGCATAACGCCATAATGGCGTCATAACTGTAGTTGACGAGGCGTATGACGCAAGCTCCTGAGCTGTTTCGAATCTCCCAGAAAAAATATAAATATAAATCCGTCTATATTTTAAGATTTATAGTATAAATATGTACGTAGTAAATTCTAACATCACAGGAAATTCAGTCAGAAATTTTAGGGTGGATGTTTTTCTTCATGAAAGGTCAATTTTTCCATTGTTCGTATTCTTTTCCAGCTTCCTTCTTGAATATTTAATTTCAATTGATTTCCATGTAATGAAAGGAAACGTGATTTTATTATTTGGTTCCTGAGGATATTTTGGCGAATTTTATTTTCGAAAGGCTTTGCCATCGAAGAATAAAGAGAAAATGATGTCGCGTTTTGCAACGACGGTCATGAACACAGATAAAAATCGTGGAAATGCACACGCCTTTTAAAGGGCGTGAAAAGGATGAAATTTAATTGTGTATTAATATTCATAAATGGTCCCGATGACAGTTAGAAAACGGCCGTGTTTTAGTTTCACTTTACATTTTTGAATAATCTCGACTTTCAAACCCTAGGAGAGGATTAATAATGTCTTAAGTGCTTTATTTTTGAACAATAGAAATATTGTTTTTATAATGACGGAATATCAATTGAAACGAAGTGAATAATAAGAGTAAATTAAAAATAAAAAGAGCAGAATGGGTTTTTAAATATGCCAAAATCTGCCTGTTTCATGCTTCTACCTCCCATCAAACTCACATTGTTCCATATTACCTGCATTCTAAAATTATAATTAAATAAAATACCTGTCCTAATAAGCCAATAACACATGTATTAAAAATTGGTGCCCTGGAATGGGATCTAACGAACGGAAAATTGGGGATATGTGTTAATTTTTCAACATGTCATCATTACAATTAGAAGTTTTGAAGTTCCAGTTAAAAAAAGAATGAATTATATAAAACAAATTCTGTGTAAAAACAATACGAAAACCATGTAAATTTGCTTTTTCATTCTCATTCATATTTTCTTGATTTGTCTGTCTCTCTTTTCCTCTCCATTCTTTCCTGTTTGTATATCTGTTTGTTTTTCTTCTTCTGTACATTTTATCTTGATTTGTCTTTTCGTTTGCCTCCCTCTCTTCATTTTCTGTCTTTTTTTCATACTTGGTTTGCCTGTCTGTCTCTCTCTCTCTTTCCTTATACTTCATGGTTTGTCTGACCGTTTGCCTCTCTCTTTCCCTCCATTCTTTCTTATTTTTCAGTCTGTTTTTCTCTCCTTTTTCTCCATTTTTTTTTTTGTTTGTTTGTCTGTTTGTCACTCTCATTCCCTCGGGTCATCCTTGTTTTTTGTCTGTTTTCTCTCCCTTTTTCTGCATTCTTCCTTGGTTTGTTTCGGTCTGTTTTTCTCTCTCTTTTCTCCCTACTCTCTTGGTTTGTTTGTCTGTTTGACTCTCTCATTCCCTCCAGCCATTCTTGTTTTTTTT